TTATAATATTTATCTCATTTAAAATGAAGTACAACAAAAATTGCAGCTCGGATCTTCACCATTGTGCGTCGCTCGGTAACGATTGAGTGGACCGAGTACACCCAAGGGTAAGGCTCAGCTGTAGTCGAAGGGCGTTTTACCTGTGTGTAGTTCTGAGAATGGTTGCTATCAACTGTTTCTCGTGTGCAAGGTGATGTGAGAACGCGACCTCCAAACGTCGTTTACGTCACCGGCCCTGATTAACGTAACCCGTTATCGTTAACCGCAACGAGTTAACGGCGTTAACGTTAAATCGATTTCAAGGATCCCCTGGTGCCCTGAAATATGCCAGTGATTGGTCGCAAAGTCGGCGGGCGCACGGGTGAGAGGTGAGGAGGGGACCCCTCACCTCCTCACCTCTCATCCGTGCGCCCGCCGAGTCGAGGATAGGCAAACCCGCAACACGGCGGCGCGTGCTCTGAATCACCCGGTACACATGATTCCCAGAGTTATTGCCTCCTCGCCTACACTTTAAACTGCAGTACACCTTGGTCCTACACTTAAACCAGTAGGAGACACCATGGCCCTACACTTAAAAGTGTGATAATATATGACACTTGAGTTTTCGGAGCACGACTGATTGTCCCATAACAAATGCGATGGGGTGGATATAGAGAGACTCTCTAGTTGGGTAGTAGGAATCAGCGTGACTTCTTGTACTTGGTCATTGATTTCTCAAGTAGATATCACTGATGTGAAGACATACAAGCTTGAAAACTCAAGGATCAAGTACAATTTAATTGGTCTAAGAACTCATTTTTGGGGGGTGCGGGTGCTTCTTGCAGAAATAATCGGTTTACAGCTATTATTGAGTAAAACACCGAAAACTGCCCGAGTAAAATAGTGTTTTTTACTGAGTTTAAAACTCAAAAAAACAGTTTTTTACTATCCCTTTAGATCTCTACGCGGCACGATCTTGCCGAAGAGAAGAAGATACTGTGACGGTATCTCGTCACGACCCTTACACTTCGTGCCCCCTGTGACGTGTCTCGGCACACCGACGCGGCACTGGACTACGCCACAGTCAACTACTAAAGTCTCTTTCCCTTTTCCCATGACGTGGCGCTGCACGCCGTTATAGTCGCAGTTTTTCTCGCACGACACTTAAAGGACCCCTCTACGACGTCTGAAGCATGCGTTCACCTGCACCTACATACTCCCCAAATTTCTGCATTTCGACGACATTGAAAAAAAAAAGGTCGGATAAAAATTGAATCGGACAAAATGTAGGTCGAACAGCGTTTCTTGGGCCTCGCACAAGCCGAACGGAACTTACGCGAACATGCAGAACGTTGCTTATTTGAAACGGAAGTGGGTGAACACAATTATTATAGAAAAACAAAGTTAGTCTACTAACACCTACTAACAAAGTGAATCCCAAATCGTGTGTCGTTGGTGAAAACAGATCCACCTGCTGAAAAGTGAGATGTTGGCGGGACCCAATTTCCAACATCGAGTCCGCAGAGAACGAGATGAGTGTATTAGCTAAACGATGTAGTCTACAATGATCTACTAGCAAAATATATCCCAAATCGTGTGTCGTTGGTGAAAACAGATCCACCTGGTGAAAAGTGAGATGTTGGCGGGACCCACACCATCGCAACGAGTCCGCAAAGAACGGGATGAGTTGATTACCCAAATAATGTAGTCTACTATCATCTACTAACAAAATATAACCCAAATCATGTGTCGTTGGTGAAAACAGATTCTCTTGGTGAAAAGTGAGAAGTTGACGGGACCCACACCCTCACAACTTGTCTGCAAAGAACCAGATGAGTGTATTTGCCGAACAATGTAGTCTACTATCATCCACTAACGAAATATAACCCAAATCTTGTGTTGTTGGTGAAAACAGATTCTCCTGGTGAAAAGTGAGATGTTGGCGGGACCCACACCACCGCAACGAGTCCGCAAAGGACGGGATGAGTTGATTACCCAAATAATGTAGTCTTCTATCATCTACTAACAAAATATAACCCAAATCATGTGTCGTTGGTGAAAACAGATCAACCTGGTGAAAAGTAAGAAGTTGACGGGACCCACAACCTCACAACTTGTCGGCAAAGAACAAGATGAGTGTATAAGCTGAACAATGTAGTCTACTATCATCTACTAACAAAATATATCCCAAATCTTGTGTCGTTGGTAAAAACAGAGTCTCCTGGTGAAAAGTGAGATGTTGACGGGACCTAAACTCCCACAACGAGTCCGCAGAGGACGGGATGAGTGTATCAGCCAAACAATGTATTCTACAATCAACTACTAACAAAATATAACCCAAATCATGTGTCGTTGGTGAAAACAGATCAACCTGGTGAAAAGTGAGAAGTTGACGGGACCCACAACCTCACAACTTGTCAGCAAAGAACAAGATGAGTGTATAAGCCGAACAATGTAGTCTACTATCATCTACTAACAAAATATATACCAAATCTTGTGTCGTTGGTAAAAACAGATTCTCCTGGTGAAAA